GTATGTATGTATGTATGTATGTATGTATGTATGTATGTATGTATGTATGTATGTATGTATGTATGTATGTATGTATGTATGTATGTATGTATGTATACTTGTATATATGTAAAAGCTTGATTAGGTTCACAGGCTTTACAAGCCGAGCTTTGTTGGGCTCGAGCTTGGTTCGAAGCTCGGTTTAGACTGAGTCGAATCAAGCTTTCACGAGCCAAGCTCAAATAGCTAGTGAAAAGTCCGGCTCGTGGCCCCCAATCATATGTAAGTGTTGTTTTAAAAAAATGAAAACTTTGAACAATTAATATTGGTTGTGAAAACTTGAGGAATATAAAATTGGTGAGGACTGCTGGATTGAGCATGTGGCCAATCTAAGGTCCTTTCTGATGAATGGTCTGGTTTGGATTGACCAAAAGATCCCTCTGTGGCAGAAATAGTTTAGTCCATGTAGTGAGTCTCCTTACTTGATTGGAGAAGTCCCCTCAACTTAAGTGATATGATGTGGCAATTCTGAGCTGGTGAGCCATAACCAAGTAAGAAGTCGGCCCTTTGGATCGACGATATGTTCAATCATTTTGTCTATATCAACCCCAATGACTTAAGTAGTTGAGACTTGAGAATTGTTCTACCAAAAAAAAGGGAAAATTCCACTTTAGTACCTTGAACTTTGTGGGTAGTGCCAAGTTAGTACCCAAACTTTCAAAGCGTGTCACTGCAGTACCTCAACTTTCAAAACGTGTCAAGTTGGTCCCTACCATTAACCAACCATTAGTTATCTATTGAAAATGTCAAAACTATCCTTCAAAGGAAGACACTGTTCATTGTCTTATACCTTGAGATTGAACTGGTTATCTTCAAAAAAAAGAGAGAAAAAACATGAAATATGATAGAGGGAAACAATAATTGAAAGCAATGAAATAACTTGACAAGAACAAGGTTCAAAGTATCAACATGTATCGATCGAATCGTGTCGTGCCGATGGCTTCCCGATATGCCCCTCTAAGGGTTGCATCGGGTCAGACCATGGTTTAGAGGGTAGACGGGACTTAAACCGACTCCTCTGAACCGGTTTTGAAAAAAATAAAACTTAAAACAAAGCATTGATACAGGCCGATACGCCCTGATACTTTGAACCTTGGACAATAATGTGTTTCAGATCTAAAGGTAGAAGACAATGACTTCATTAGTCTAGAATCTCAAACACCTCAATCGGTTTAGTCTCAAGGTAGAAGACAATGAACAATGTCTTCTTTTGAAAGGTATATAGTTTTGACATTTTCAACAAATAACTAATGGCCGATTAACGACAGGGACCAACTTGACACCTGCAAAAGTTTGGGTATTGCAGTGATACATTTGAAAGTTTGGGTACTAACTTGACACTAACCAAATTTCAGGATACTAAAGTAGAGTTTTTCAAAAAAAAAAAAATAGTAGTTTGAAATTGAAATGAACTATAATCTCCCCCTAGTATGGACAGAGGGCTTCACATGCAACCTGCTCTTACCCACCCTGGATTCCCCATTAAAGTGTACTATTTTATTTTATACCAAAAACAAATAAAAGACAAGCAACATAGGTTGGAAAGCAGGGTTTATCATGACAAGGAATTTTTGGCCTAACTTGCCTCCATATCCATTATTATATGGTGAGGGACGTGGGAGAATTTTGAGCACAAAACAATGTGTTCGATGGAAATCTCTTTAGTAATTCAGCCTTTTCAAAGAATGATTCTTTTAACTACCAAACCTGCTCAAACCAAAGCTGCAGAAGGGTACGCTCTAAACCTACTCAAAACTTCAAAAAGATTTCTTTTATACATACGAGTAAAGGTGCTGGCTATGGGGCGGAGTTACGAATTTTTTATGAGGGGGCTAAAATCTAAAGTTGGATTAGAAGTAGGGGATAATAGATATAAATGGGGGCATAGGGGAGCCCAGATTTCCTATAAATTTTTCCTATCCACTCTCTACCACCGTGAATTGGAGCTATACATCTCTAAAGTGAGTAAGAAATCCAAATGGGCATAGGGGGGCCAACCATTGGGTGGAAAATAGGGGAGGGAAAAATTTTACAAGAAAGACTGTATTACAAATGGAGATTTCCGGACCATAGGGGGCCATGGCTCTCCTGGGTCCCCCTGGCTCCGCCCGCTATAGAAGAAGCTCAACAATATTTGGTGCAGCAAAGCACACAATCATAACCCAGGGAAGAAACAACAAGATTGCTGGTCCAACAATATGGTTTTTAGTTTTTACCTCATCTCAAAACTATACTACTCAGCCATTCAGTTCAGTAACTACTGCATGCCATGTATTTGGTTTGATAGAAAATATGATAGGAAAAGAAAGTTGATAGAAAATTTTCAACGAAAATATGACATGGTTTAATTGATTTTTTTTCTTGATTCAAGAACTGAATGATTTCAACTATTTGGTTGGACAGAATTAGAATCTCACTTTCATTCCTGGGAAATGCCATTATCCCATTTGAGGGAATGATCATTCTCTCCCCTCCCTTGGGAATGAAATTCCATTTTAATTCCCATTTCAATTCCTGTCTGAACCTAAAAGACATTCCTATCCAAAGATTTCAATTTTATTTCTAATTCCGATTCTGATTGTGACTGCAAATCAAATGGACTCTTAATAACTGTAAGATTAATCTTTGTTATGCTAAATAGATAAAATCCAGGAAACATCTCCCGTGCTTGTCATTGGGAAATGTTCCAAATGCATCTTATGCTGAGATGGGCATGTGGGGCGCTGAAGTGATCATGTTGCCAATGCTACACTTTCAATATTGTTGCGAAAACAAGTAAACAGCAATTTTTTTTTCTTGTTAAAAAACAATGTTAACTAGAATTCATTGTTATAATTCTTTTTTTGACAGTATTCAACTATTCATACATTTAAAAAATGCCATCTGATCTACCTCTTATTCAGTGTCTATTACGTTTCTGTCCCAGGGGTGCTCCCGGGTCCTTCATGGAAGGAGCGAAAGTGAACTCTGTAAAACATTAGAGCTTCTTCTAGGGCCGATAGACACCTTTTGTTTCTCCACAACCCATGATGGATGAAGGGAGCTCTCCAACTCTTTCCACACCTTCTTCAAATACCACGCCCATACCCATGTAGAAATGAGATTCTATATGGCAATGGAAGGCCCAGATCCCCGGGTTATCTGCCCGAAATCTCAGAGCAGTCCATCCATAACTATGAACGGGCACCGTGTTCTTCATGATGGGATTAACCAGGTTGTACTTCTTCGGATCATTCACGGGGTCGAACTTCCCCTTTCCATACCCCAACACCCAGAAATCATGTCCGTGCAGGTGCCATGGATGTGTTTCACTTGTGTTGTTCATCAGTGAGTTTGCATTTTGTAGAATAATGTCCACTGTAGAATTGAACTTCAACCTGTAAATGGAGTTACTGTAAGTAGCCTCAGGATTCTTTGGGGCGCTAAAGATATCGTAGCTTGCGGAATCATAATTTTCTGGTGCTGGGGTTTGATCGAACACATGGGTCATGTTCTTCTTGAGCGCAATGAGATATGGGGTATGAGGGAGGGTGAAGGAGACGTTATTAACAGACCAGCGCATGTAACCGTCTATCCTGTTCTGTGTGTTGAGGAGCGTAATGACTCTATCAGAGGTTAGGGGAGGTGGGATGATGTAGCCTTGGCGTGCCTTAATGGCAACACTCTGCGCCAATCTGTAGTCCGAGTCATTCCACTGAGGCCCTGTCGGTGGAGCTGTTCGAGGTGATCTACGGGGATGGTTCGGATAGTAATTGAAGATCGCCAAGCCGGTTGGAGTAGTTCTATTTCGACTGATCACGTTTGTAGCAGCCCAATAATTCCTTGAAGGATCCTGATCTGTTCTCACAAGAACAGAGTATGTCTCCCCAGAGTAGATGTTCAGGTTTTGTACAACGAATGGCTCTACATAGTGTCCATCAGCCTCCACAACTGTCAAGTTGTGCCCCTGTATAACAGAAATCGATCCACATTCAGTGATGGCCGAAGTCAGAGAGTTAACAGAAACGCTCAAAGTTCACATATCTGGTGACCCATTTACCTCAATGGCGAAATTCAGTGCAGATAGAGACGTCAAGCTCCCAATCCTAAGTCGATATGTCTTCCCCGGGACGACTGTTAAGAAATAGGGAGAGCATTCTGGGTTTGTCGAATTACAAGTATCAGCTTGTAGGCCTGAAGCCAAGCAGTTGAATCTTCCTCTTCCTTGTATCAAGAGCGACTGGAAAGCAATGAGAAAGTTCAGAAAATATATATGCAGAATACAAGAAAAATTGGAACGTTTGATTGTTGCTCAAGACTCTGGAAGAGGATTAATGAAATTCACCTGAGGCTCTCCCACCCACACAAAGGATTTCGAAGACAAGCCTGCAGCTTGTTCAAAGGTGCTTTTGTGGTACCAATCGTTAAGGATGATGCTTCGGTCGTAGTCGTATGAGAATGGCTCCTTAACACCATCAGGAACCAAGACTCGTATGGCACCATACAACCCAGCTTCTCTTTGCATCCCATAGTGCGCATGGTACAAATATGTTCCGGGCTGCATAGATTTCAAACTTTGTTCATTAATTTCAAACTTTGAATGAAAACAAGAGACTACTATAAACAGGGTTCGTCTTGGGTTACTGGAATTTACCCTATCCACAACAAACTTGTAAATGAAAGTGTCTCCCGGCAAAATTGGACACTGAGTTACTCCTTCTGTTCCATCCATCCATGGGGTTCCAATCTGCGATTGATGGTGCAAAGAAATGAACAAAAGATGGAAACCCAGAAAAGCTCAACATGATTAATGAAGAGGGAAAGAGCCCACACCTGTCGGATTCCATGCCAATGAATTGCGACATTCTCTGTCACCAAACCATTCTTAAGCTCGACAATGACGGTATCGCCTTGCTGCGCTTGTATTGTCGGCCCTGGGGTTCTCCCATTGATGGTAATCGCCAGCTTCTTATAGCAGTCTGGTGATTTAAATTCATATTTAACCTCCCATTTGTAGTGGCGGATTCTAGCATCAACTGTTGGGGCTAGTATTAGAGTAAAAAAGACAGACCAAAGAAGCAACCCGATTCCAACTCTTTGATAGTGCATGGTGGCACACAGCAGCATCCAATTCTTTTTCTTCGTTTTCTGGTGGAAAAAAAAACGGCAAATCTCTAATCTTAGGAGTTGTTAAATTTCCGGTCGCTGACGAGAAACCGGTGGAGAAACTGGGACAGGTTGTGTACCAACTGGGTGTTCCACATTTAGATGTATAAATATAAATTGAATTAGGCTCCCCTCGGTCTCTTCGACGAAAAGAGAAAAGGTAGCTATAGACCAGCATAAAAGAAGACTGGATCATACGCTGATACGCGCTTAATAAAAGGCAAAGAAAAGAAAAAAAAAAAGGGTGAGTTGACCTTATACCAAAAAAGAAATTATCAACAACTACACCTGTAATATTCGCAAAGAAAAAAGAAACAAACAAACAAACGACATCTATACACAGAGGGAACAAAGTATCATATGCAACATAAAAAAAGAAGGCCTGAGCGAAGCGTGACCCAGATCAGAATCATCAGATTCCTAGTTCTGCCTTGAACTTTGAACTTTTTTTTTTGAAAGAAACCTTGAACTTTGAACTTGATTATCCTATTCTTTAATTGACTTAAAATATAACATGAGTTTTTCAAAAGGACTTGGAAGATATCTTATGGACCGATTCCATTGGATTTAAACATTCCCTGACCGGTGAAACTTCAAATGTGAATTTATTTAAAAATTTTATTTTTCCCTTTTCACATATCAGAGTCATAGTCATGAAACCTTCCTTCTTTTTTGGCCAATAAATTCATTGGATTAAATCTTACTTTTTTTTTTTTTTTTTATTCTTGTTTCCCCACTTTATGTAAAAGGATAATGAATCGATCTTTCACTTTTCCTTTCCTTGTTGGAGAATTGGATTACAAGATACATTCTAGTAAATGAAAAAAATAAACCATTGATTTGTTTCTTGAATTCAAAAGCCAGAGCATTACAAACCAAGATATCAATTGCTTATTTTTCTTCTAATTTTTCTATCACTTTGACTACATAAAACTCTAAATTTTGTGAAAATAAAAAATTCAAAATTGTCAAAAGTGAAAAAAAACACGACATTATTAGAAAATTAACAAGACAGGAAAGTTTTCAATTGGGTAAGAAAAAAACAGAGCAAACTATGGATCCAATCAAAGTTGTAATTTATTGTTTCACTGTCATATTCAAAAGTTCTACAATTTTTTCAACAATATTTAAAGCCATCATGAAGTTCTGGAGCATCATATCATTGATAGGTTTATTATCTAGGACTTAAAATTATTGGGTCTATTAAGTTATTGGGATTTATCGTCTCTTTGGTTCTTTTTGAAAATATGAAACAAAAGTATCTTTTAATTCTTTTTGAAAACTAAGGGTATGTTTAAGTCAATGAATGGAAATTCAGGTATTTTTAAGCCTTTTACCCAAAGAAAAGGCATGATCAAATATTATCTTCATGGACAAATCAATCCCCAAAACCCAAGGATCTCAATTTCAAATAAGGGTGGACACGAATCAAGTTTTTTACAAACTATTCAAATTTGACTCAATTTAAATTGAGCTCGCTCATAAGGTTAGTGAGTCTAATCGAACTTTTATACATACATATATATAAGTGTATATATATATATATATATATATATATATATATATATATATATATATAAAAATAATATATATATATATATACCTTTTTCTATATATTATTTTTTATATGTATAATAAAATTTTATTTTATACATATAATAAATAGTTTTTATATATAAAATAAAAATATTATATATATTATATTTATAATTTTTAAATTTTATAGAAAATTTGGCTCAAAATAATTGAGCTAAAACCAAATCGAGCTCCAACTTATGGTTTTGAGTCAAACTGAATTCGAGTTCAAATATATAGCTCAAGCTTGAACCTCCTAGTTTTTTGGTAAGTCAAACTTGAATAGCCAAATATTTGAATCAACTCGACTCCACTCCACCCTGAGCTCAAGATACCGCATTTTGCAAATATAAGAACAGGTTATAACATAAGCTTATACCATTGTTGAATTCATGGATCGGATGGGTAGGTAGTACTGAATTACAGATCGCGAAAAGAAGCAACTATTGCCTGACGGATGCTGCTGCATTTGAATGTGTACGGTGATATTGGTTATAATGAATACCTAGGTAATAACTACAAGGGTTTTCTTTTTTCTTTTTTCAATTTTACTTTTATTAACAAGAAATGACATAATCAGTTTTTGTTGTCTCGTTTACTTTTTTTTTTAATGCCTTAGGATTTCTTATTTCCATCAATGCTTTTAACTCGTCGTTGACTTGGACGGTCAAAGCATTTCCGTCCAGTCGATTTCTCAACAACGTCCTACAGCACATTCTTGCCGTGTATTGAAAACATCTCCCGATTATAATATTATCATTTCTGGTATTATCACCGGAAGATGTTTTTAATACACAGCAGGAATGTGCTGTGGGACATTATAGAGCACCCTTGTGAGGCACAGATCTAAATGTCACATTTTCAGGCCCAATTTTCCTAAAATCTAAAAATTAATAAAAGAAAAAATTGTTGACTTGCTGGTTGAATATCATTTGACCTGGCGGTTGAATCATTGATACACTGGATCTGATCATTGGGTTATGGGTTTAACAATTCATAATTTATTAAAAACTTTTGAAGGTTATAACTTTGTATTGCTATTTTTTTCCAAAAAAAATAAAATACTTTTTTCCCTCAAATCCTAATTTTCAGATTTTTCACAAGTAAAAATATAAATTAGACATAAAATTATCAGATCCAGATTGCCAAACTGTTGACCTGTGACCCAGAAAGAAAAATGATTGAACCTCCGGATCAATTTTTGAAACACTGATTTACATTTGTCCCCCATTATTTTTTTCTTATTCTTACTCTTTTTTAACAATAAATAGCATAAGCAGTTCATTTATCTCATTTTGTTTTCTTTAACCTGTGCTTGTTTTCAGTGTAAATATGGATACATGTAAAACTCCACTCTCGGTCCGCATTTTCATGTGTTTGGTTGGGATGTAAATTTTACATCTAAAATCGATGTAAACTTCACACACACAGTTGAATTTTATATCGATAATCGATATAAATATTACATTGATTTTTTATGTACTTTTATATTGATTATCACATTTTAAAAAGCTCAACAGTTCACTCATTTTAAAATTATTTGAGTTCAATTCCATCAATATACTTTTACATAAAAAACAAACACAACCTTAATGGATTTTTCCTTATTATTTATATTTGTCCCCCCTTTATTTTGGGACATTGATGTGCAGTTGGCCAAAGAAATGATAAAAAAAAAAATACATTGTGACTTTTGTCCAAAGAAAATTAGAAAAATAACTAAATCAACGTTGTTTTCACTGTTGAAAAAAAAAACACGTGAAAAAGGCATACATCCTTGAATGTCGATGAATAATCTCATGAAGAAGATTCTTAATGCCTAAACCAAGGTTTTTAAAACTGGATCAGACAGAAAATCATTCTGCGTTCCGATTTTCAGGTTGAACAGTCTAATTATCCAATTTGAATGGATAACTCGTTTTGACAAAAAAAAAAATCCAAAAATACGGCTAAAAACCATTCCCAGATCAAATCAACGGTTTTTAGCCAAAAAAACATTTTAGGGGTTAAATGGAATCAGTCTGGTAACCGATTCCTGATTTTTCTAGTCCAACCATTCGATCCAGTCCAGTTTTAAAAACATTAACCTAAACATATGCAGAGGGTCCGGAGTTTTTGAAATATTAGAAAAAATAATGTGATGAAGGTACTTTCGGATCCAATGGGTTGGATCAGGCCTGATTATCCCGATTAATAGTTGGTTTCGGTTCTGGGTCCTTGTTTTACAAAACCTATTAATAATCGGACCTGATCCATTGACAGCCCTCTGGATAAAAAATGCTGTCTTTCTTGGACAAAACTATTTGGAGTGCTCTCACAGCATTACCGGCTTGAACAATTTTCATTCCATCAATCAATAAAACTGTAATCTCTCACACTAGCAAAATCTTGTTCTCCAATTTTGAACAATCCTTTTTATATGGATCGATATCAATCCTCAAAGTAAAAAGTAAATTGAAACTTCCAATCTTATTCATTTATCCTTTTTAAATCTCTCATCTGTTGTACTTGTATGATTTCTATCTTAGCGAGCGTTTGGTACTGATGGCTGATGCCATTTTGTTAACAAACAGTGCCCACATATGAAATCTATTTTTTGAAACTGATGTTTGGTTAAATGATTTTTTCTTTTTTCGAAAAATGTTTTGTCTCACACCATGTCTCGGAAATCGGAAAAAGTATGGTTTGAGACAAAGCTATTTTTGGTATTTTCCATGAGACAGCAACTGTACACTTCAATTAAAAAATGGTACAGCACTGTTTTCTCAAAAAATACATCTCTCAGAAAATAACATTGACTCCAAACATGGCCTACGGTCAATCCTAAAAGCCCATACGTGTTCTTTGCTGACATGGAATATTTTTCTGTATTCATACTTGGTTATATAGAGTAAATAATGACAGATTAGATAAATTAAGCAATAATTTTATATATGAAGCCATCTTAATTACTATTAGTTCAAGAATTCAGTAAGACAAAAGAAATGACAAACTATATAATAAACGAATTCTTAAGTCTTAAGTCTTTGACGACCAAATTATACTTCTAGGCCTCTGTGATCTCCATTCACCTCTTTTTTTTCCCTTACTACACTACTAGCGGCAACCCGTCTGATGCACAGGAAAACAAAATACAGTTTTTGACAAATTATTGTAATTTATTTAGGTTTATATTATTTGATAATTTGAAGTAATTATCATCCTAAGTTCTACCAATTTTTGGAATTTAATGGTTATTTTTACAAAGTTATACTAATTTCATCTATTTTATCATATTTTATGGAAATTAATGATTATTTTTCCCTAAGTTCTACTAATTTCTGGTAATTTCTATTATACTAATTTATGAGAATTCTTGGTCAATATATACTTATTTTTTATACTTATTATATGATAGTTTATTATTCAATTAATGGAAACTAGTTCTATTATATAATTCCTACTAATATCTGGTAATTTCTTGGTAAATATATACTAATGTATTATATTTATTCTATGATAGTTTATTGGTAAATTATAGC